GTGTGGGGGGAATGGGAGCCTGGCGGGGGAATGGGAACCTGAGGAGTGTGGAATGAGGAAATGGGAGCCTGGGGTGTGATGGGGGCGGGTGCACGGGTGCAGGCAGGGGTATAAAGGGGAGACTGGGGAGTTAGCAGGAGCCTGAGGGGCTGAGAGCAGGAGCCAGGGCAGAGGGTGAGAGCCTGGGGGGGCCAAGGGAGCCCTGAGGGCAGAGGGCTCGTGGCCCTGGGGGCAGGGGCTTTGCCCCCTCCTAATGTTTTCTGGCTTCTCCCTGCAGTGTTGTGTGAGGGCTTGCAGCGTCTGTGCCCCTTCAGCCAAGTCATTGCTGCTCTACAGCACTGCACCTGGCCTAAACTTCCATTAATTTCGTGAGACTTTATCCCTGTTGATAACCTGACAAGGTAATTAAGTAAGCTCAGAGTGCGAGAAAGGAGGAGATCAATCTAATGGCACTTTGTTGGGGTGATAATTGAAATTGAGAATAGTGTTTGTCAGTGCAGCTTTTTTCCACAGAAAGTGTGTATTTTCCAGTAGCAAGGGCAGTATTATTGTAACGGGGATAGTTTTCAGACATTTGTGAGACAAGCTTATCTATCGGTAGAGGTAATTGTATCAGACATTATAGCATGCTGAGGTTCAGCATTTTGAGTCCACAAAGGTCAGACCTGAAGAAAGGCTTGTGTGTGAGAGCTTCATGACTTTTCCAGTTACAGTGATTGGATTAATAAAAACCGTCATTACGTGTACAAATCATGTCTCTCGAGTCTCATTTTTAGCTCGTGTTAATGTATTCTGTTGTTAACTCTGTGGTGGCCCCACGGCTCCCGGAGGTGAGATGCTGTAGCGGGTCTGCCGTTACTTTGTCCTGAGGGCAGTGACTGACTGGCCGTTCCAGACGGTGCTAAAGTCTGCTGGGTGCTGTCAGAGCCCTCTGAGGCCGCAGCAGCTTGTTTTGTTTTCTGTTTTGCCAGAGGGTGAGGTTGTTTTGTACATGACTTGAGAATAAAGCGAGGCAGTGTTGGGTTACTGTCTGGTGAAGGGGGAGGATGGAGCAGAAACGGGGATGATGCTGACCCCCAGCCAGGGGTATGGCCCAAAGCTCCCCTGCTCCCCAGCGAAGACTGGGACCCAGCTATCAAGTGGTGTGCACCTTCCTGATACAGCAGGCTCTCTTCTTTCTTGGATGCTTTGGTCACTGGTGTGTGCATATACTTGTTTTTAATTACCATATCTGGAGGGTTGAAATACATCTATTGAAGTATTTGTGTTTTCATGAGCTACAGAAGAAAAAAACTGGTTTCATGAGGTACAGAAGGACAATATTGTCTCATGCTTTTTGCTTTTCCACTGAGACTGGTTTATCCAAGCCACTGCTCGTGTCACTGTCTTTATTTATTTATACATGTGCCACAAACAGAAATTTTTTTTGTATCAGTGTGAAATGTGACTTGCCATAGTAAGCTTGACTACTTCGAGTCACATTTAACAAGTTTCATGTTTTATACATGACAGCTAAATGAGACTAGAAAGCTGTTTTAAGATAAAAGCTCTGGAGCTACAGGATATAAGACCAGGTTATCAGCCTAGGATGAACTAGGATGTACCCATATCTGAGGACAACCTGATTCCTCCTTGATTTTGTTAACTTTATTTCACACTATATATATCCTCAGTGTTTTGGGTTTTCTTTCTGCCAAGTTAATTTGCTCAGATTTTTTGTTTTGCAGAGTGTTTGAATAGATGATATCATCTTCCTGCTGCAGTGTTTGCAAAGATGATGACTGCAGATAGGAGCCAGTGGGATGGAACTACTTGTGGTATGGTTACTTGTCAACATCCACAGTGCTGGGATACACTAAACAGAACTGAGGGACATCCTTGGCTCTGTTTAGGAAAGTCTGATTCAATTTTTAGAGCCTTTTTTTCAGAAAGGGAAGGGAAAGTTATGGTTAAATTTTGATTTTCACTAAATAAGGGAAAAGAGCATTCTTACTCTTAAGATAACTAACTTGGAGTGCTAGTGAAGTTAAGGCAGGTTTTAGTTTTCACATGAAGTAGCTATTCACGTTGAACACTTCACAGATTTTTAAAGCTGGAAGTGATCAATAGGTTGCCCAGTCTGACCTGTATAACGGGTGACTTCACCACAATTCACCTCAGTAGCTTGTTCAAATAAAGCCTCTCTCCTGTAAGTAACTCAGCTTGCATGGCTGACATCAAGAAGAGAGAATGTGTTACTTTTCTTGGCCGAGAAGTATTTCCTATGGCAGGAAATGGCTTGTTGAATTTTAGTGCTCAATTTCCAACATGATTTTTTCCTCATGTATATACATGCATATAACCTCACTCACTAATGATTTTATTCCACCTGTAGACCTCAGCAACTTTCTCTAGTTAAGTCCTTGTAAATGAGGTTTGTATATCAGCTGCCTGGAGCTCACTTTATATACTCACTGATCACTTCTTGCTAGTGTGTGCCTCTAGGTGTGATCTCCTGTTTAAACAAATGATTCATCGATATTAGACAAATCTTACACTCCTATTCTTAAAGGGTTTTCTTGCTGTCAGCAAGAGCTGGATAACTAAGGAGTGATGATTAAGAAGAAAGAGGGTTATACTTCCCTTACTAGAATGTCTCAGGATACACAGCAGTCTGCCCACGTGCACTCCTCTTCTGTAGCTGGATAAAGCCCTTTAATGGTCATTGTGAGCAAAGTGGCCATTGTGGTTGTGGTGAGATGCATTTTTGGCAGTTAGGCCCTGGGAATGTGGTCTGCATATAGGAAAAATTGGCTATAAGGTAAAATCTTGTGGTTTGCTTAGCTAGAAATTCTGGTTATTGTTAAATGGAGGCATTGTGGCACTGCACTCTATAGTTTGTGGTTATCAGATCCTCAGTGTTCATCTTGCATTTGCTTTACTTTTGTTAGATGAAATTCCAACATTGAAAATAGTAAATATCCCCCCCAGCCATACTTCAGGGAGGTAAATTAGATGTTCTGAGTGTCACAGAACATCTTCCACCTCTGCCACACCCTTTCTTCTCTGTTCTCTTAATCAAGAATGCTCAGAAGCTACTGGTGTCAGGAGAATTACACTGAAGGCCTATCTGTGAGTTTTAAGCCTGCAGTGACAGTGGGCACTGCGATGATAGCCTGCTTATTTTTCTCAGAATTTCACAAAAATGTTACATTTATGGTCCAGCTGCAGTAGACACAGAGCTTGCAAAGTAGTATTTGCACTGCTCAGAATGCAGTTTGTACAGATGAGTTTCAATCTTGATTAACTTGACTTCTGTGAAAATAATAATTCAGTATCATCATGACCAAATGAATAATAATTTTTAAAAGTACAGATTATTCCTGTATAGAGCAGTCATCATGGAACACCTATATTGTTTCCATCATTTTTGCAGCTGTATTATTATAGGTGTGATATTATACAAGTCCTGTAATAAATAGGCTCTTACTGCAATAGATTCACCTCTTCCTCTTCTACAAATGGGGAAAGAAGCATGCCAGAAGGTAGTCCACATGCAAGTTGGTGATCTGATCTGCAAGACCTTCACTCTGGGCACTGAAAACAACCCTGTTGGGTTTGCTGGGAGTGCTCAGGTTGCAAAAGTAAACATAGGTATAAGGTTCTGCGAGGTCTCAAGCCTGAGAATCGTTAAGTGTGTAGGGGAGTCAGAGGGGACAGCAGAGTGCTCAAGGCCAGAGTCAAGTGCATGGCCTGTTGGCTGTCAGTGTTTGTAATAAAACAGCAAGAGGCTGAATGTTCACAAAGCTGAAGGCAGGGGCACAGCTACCCAACTTGAACTGGAGTGGCTTCAGTGGTGTGGGATGTTGTTATGGGATTTGCATTTACTAGTTTTAATTTGTCTGGGAGACTGTCCATGGCTGCTCTGCTGCTTTTTTTTTTCCTTTTTGTTATAGAAGAAGAATGAATTTTAAACACGTGACACTACCCTTTTTAAAAGGAAATAAGTTATTACTTTGTTCTAAATTTTCAAGTGCATCTGTCCTCAAACATAGCTGTAATGTCTGGAATCATTCCAGCTTTCCCTAAAGACAAAACAACGGGGAGCCCAGTTCCCAGGGGAGTGTGCTGCCATGTAGGTGGTCACTCACACACTTCTACTTCAGGTCTTCTTAGCTTAGATCATCTCTGACTAAGGCCTCCAACTACAGAAGTTTCATCCTCAGAATATCTTTCAGGATCCTGTTTTACCATAAACTAATTCAGCAGTTTTGAC